CAAAGAGCCAACTATCAGAAATAACATGTTTTGCCTTTTTTTTTTTTCCTCTTGAGCAGTTCGCCGCTGAGCAAAGATATCAACTTCCATCGACACCTATCGGATGCTCACAGGTCCAGTGTTAGCTGGTTTCTGGAAGACTCTTACTACTGGCATCCCATCAGCATCACCATTCTGGACCCTCCACGACCGGTCTTTCTTTCTTTGTGATTTCTTGTGTTGTTTATGGGGTTTAATTGAGGGCTTCTTTTTACGAGCTGCCTCGTTAGGAGCAAGTCCATTGGCCATATCAAATGTACTCAAATCACTCAGCACATGCTCTAGACTGGGTCCATTTTCGTCTTCATCATCACCAGAGGAATCAGAAGCAGACATTCTAGGTCCAACATCATCCTCTGTAACATCTTCATCCTCTGCACTACCTTCATCCTCCGATACCCCTGGAGGCGTTTCAAAATGTGGAAGCTTCCCATCAACATAATCTTTCAACATCTGACGTGATGCTCTTGTTTCATCAGGCAATCCACTTGCAGCAACATAACCACGAGATGCACAGTATGTTCGCAAAAGTTCTGCAGCAGTAGGTGGGCGAGACTGTGACTCATACGGCTTTGGTTTCGGCAGAGATATGTTGTAGACATCCTCAATAATTTTTCTAGGGACTCGATTTGCCACCACCTGTACAGCCTCTCTATGCTCAGTAATCCGATCAATTGGCAAAACACCACATGCAATCATCTCATATCTCGAACTTGTGAATGATGGAAATACCAAACCAGGGCAATCACATAGAGTAAGTTTAGGAGAAATCACTAGAGTCTGAAAATGCTTTGTCTTCCCGGGAGTAGATGTCACACCAGCCCGTTTTTCCCCTACCAAAGCATTAATAGTTGAGCTTTTTCCAACATTAGGATACCCCACAAACCCCACCATCACACTTCTAGATTGAACATCTGCTGCTAAGTTCTCATTAGCACGATGAGCATGAGACGGACCTCCTCCTCCGACAGAAGCTGACCTATTCCTAGTCAAAACTATCTCCTCCGCTGCAGACTGTAACCGGACCAATAGCTCTTCCCTGCCTACAATTTTCGTATCAGCATCACCTGCCTCTTGAGACATCGTTGGTATCTTCCCTTCCATAGCCGGAGAGGCAGCTTTAGCTGACCAGAATAGAAAAAGAATCCTTTGCTTGTGGAAGTATTCAGCCCATTTCTTTCTGCAGATAAAGCAAGAAGCATAAACTTCACATTCCAAAAAAAAAAAAAAACTGGCAGGGGGCAACTATATTATCAGCATACTGACCTGATAGAAATGGGTAAAAGATCTGCTTTGTTAACAAGAAGCATTGTTCTTTTGTGTTGNTGCTACTCTTTAAATTTCATTAAAAAGGAAAGTAGAAGTAAAGATCAGAATTCAACAGTAGCGCCTCAAAAGAATGCACAGCCACATGAGACTATATGAAAAAGATATCAACACATATCTGAACAGTCTTTCAACTGCAGTCACTGAAACTGTGAATATCCAAGCAAACACATAGGAAATGTATCATAGTTGTGCTAACAATCAAAGGTACTTCAATCTATGTGAAGCATTGAAATACTTACCTCAAGATCAGGACACCGATAAAAAAGTGGGTCCCGTGCATCAACAACCATTACAAGCTGAGGATGAAGAAACATTAAAATAAATCAGCAATGCTAATTTTGACAAAGTAATAAATTTTATTAATGAAGGAAAAATACCGTCTGTATACAAAAAAAAATATCAGCAATACACCAAGAAAAAATAAAAAACACGTCTATAGAAAGAAGGAAATAGTCCAATTCAGCGAGAATTATTCACAATCAAGTAGCAGATAAAAATCCATTACTCTTTTCTCGATTGCACTAGTAGATCACTGCAAATTCATACTACATAATAGTGGGAAAGATGCAAAAGACGTAAATCCTAAGGATCTGAAGAGGCCAGGACAGGCCTAAAGGGGACTGCATTCATGTGTTTAAGCTCTTTGCCTACATAAACTTCTTTTGCAAAGTCAAAATTTATCACCAAAGTAAACTGGCATGCTTGATGCTGGAATTTTCATTAGTTTTTTTTTTTTTTTTTT